GCAAATTCACGAATTCTACTTTGTTTATGAGCACGAAAAATATAGCCACAAGCATGTTGTATTTTACTACAAGCATCAGAAAATAAATTAAGACCATCTTTTACAACCAAGTTAAAAATATGGCATGCACATCTAACATGAAAAATTGTTGGATTAATTGGACAAAGTCTAGATTTTAAGCTATTTGCCGCGGTTGTGTTAGCAGAAGCATTATCTAAGGTGATAGTTAGAACTTTATTAACGAGTCCATAAAAATCAAGTATTTGTAGAACAGTAGTTGCAATATATGCTCCAGTGTGTTTTGAATCAGCAAATTTATAACCAATAATACGTTTTTGCAAGTTACGGTGATGATCAACCCAATGACATGTAACAGTTAAATAATCACAACCATTAGGACTACGACCTATATTAGATGTGATAGACACTTTACAATCCAAGTGAAAAAATACACAACGAATATACTGAAGATATTCAGTTTGAAATTTAAAAACATCATTTCTAACCGTGGTCTTAGGAAAACTTTGAAAAGCAGGGTTATAAGTTTCTTGTATATAATGCACAAAAGCAGGGTGAGAAGGAAAAGTAAAAGGTAAGCCACAGACAGCCACCATTTTTGCTAAGTTCTCACGATCTCTATCTTTGTTATATTTGCGTAAAACATGACCAAAAGCAGGGTCAAATTGTTGTTGAATTTGATTAGAACCAGATCCACTAGGAGTTCCAGAACTGATGGTAGGATCTATAATTTTTCCGGCTTCTATGTTAGCTTGTATCCATAAATCTTTGTGAGCACTTCTTAAGTGTCTAGTTAAACCCCCCTTCCCACCACTTACTGAGTGTGCAAATTGTTGCTTACATTTTTCACAGATAGCACGATGATTGACTTTATCATGTTTAAAAAATTTCCATACAAGTGATGTTTTGGGACGTTCAACCTTAGGCTTACCCCTTACAGGGGGTACAGGGGGTAGGGGCTGTTTGGACCATTGGCAACGGCTATTTTTGCCATTTTTGCCGTTGCCCAACGGCTAGTTTTTTTTTTAAAAAAAATGGCGGGACGCGGGACGGGACGGGACGAGACGGGACGAAACGGGACGGGACAAACGGGACGAAATGGCCTTCCCGTCCCATCCCGTGTCCCGTTTAACATTGGCNTTGGGTTAAAAAAGGAAAGGGTGATTGTGGACCGTTGATCTCAGAGATCAACAACCACAATTAGAAGGGATTTGGGTCGGGTAGAAGTCGTTTGGTTTTGGACTGGGGTGGTTTGGGCTTAGGTTAATTTAAATTGGGCTGGGGGGGGGGTCCGAATTTAGACCTAATTAAAGGGCTATTTGTTAAATACCCAATTAATTAATAAAATAATTTATAAAAATAGCTAATTAAATGATAAAAATGACTTTTATGCATAAAAATATTTTAAAATAATTGCTTGATATTATAAAAATACAAAATGTCATTTTCTTGTGAAATAAAGTAATTATGCACACATGGGCTATTATTGCAAAATATGCAATTATAGTCTTAAAAATGACAAATGTAATTGTAAAAAATGTCAATTAAAATATTTTGAAACACTTATATGAGAAAAAATGATGAACTTNAATTATCAAAACTTAAAAGTTAATATAATAACTATATGCCTATAAATTTTTATAAGTATAAATGATATTATATTTTGTATTTAAGATGTACATTTTTTTTCGTGAATATACATTAATTTAGTAATCATATATTTATAACTTATATTGTAAATAATTTATATATATATATATATATATATATATATTTAGTTTAGATACTTACAAAAATAAAAAATATACGTTTTGTAAGAACATCATAGAATTCATGTTTGATAAAATAAATTAATATTTACAAATATAATGTCATAACATTATTCAAATGTTTGACAAAACTAATCTATCAATTCTAACTAAAAAATGAACGACATGCAATGTGAGCCAATACTACTAAAACAAGTAAATTGAAACCATGAATATAACACAATTTCAAAATTAAAAAAAAAATAATATAGTTTAACATAGGTCAAATTCCAACATAATAATAGTAAGTTCCAGTGCAACTTAATAATTAGAAACATGATAAGTTTATAACCACATTCAACAACGAAATTCCACTTTAGTTGTATCACTTATTATATGTCAAGTTTGTTAATGACTCCTTATTTATAATATTAGGAGGTGTAGTTTAAAAAAAATAGAATAATAAAATAAATAAAAAATAAAATATAAGCAATTACATTGTCTTTCCGGAAATGTTAAACAAAAGTTTTTCCCTCGCATCTCGGTCACTTTTACTTTTTCGTTAAGGGGAAAAAAAGATCTCTTTTTTTTTTAGATTCGAAATTCTTCGTTTTTTTTCTCCCAATTTCCCACTCTTTCTGTTAGGCAAAACCTCACCGGATTGCCTATTTGTCTATCTGTCTGGTGAAGAGAGAATGGAAGAGACTCTCAATAGGGGAATCACAAGAAGTAAATATAGAGAAATAAAAGATAAATAATGTACAAAGAAAAATATATTTTAAAATTTCAAAAGAAATTAAAAAGTAAAAATAAAATTAAAAAATTGAAATAATAGAATTAAAAAGTTATAAAAAATAAATTAAAATAAAAACAAAAACGAAATAAACTAAAAAGCAACGTTGCAATTATACAGTGTAATTAACACCAAGTCTCACCTCCCCCTTGAGAATTGGTGAGTGTAATTACACCCCTCCAATTACACCCAATTCCATACTGACCAAGTAATTACTTGGCCAAACAAACATGCCAAATTGGATAATTACACCCAATTGCACCCAAATCCATTTCCAAGGTGACTTTCCAAACAAGCTCTAAAGAATAACACTCCAGGTAGACGTGAAAGAAATTATTGTTTTATTACAAGGAATGGATGCGTAAAATTACGGGGAACAGCTTTCATAGAGAATCATGAATAAAAATTTCTTGAAATAAGAATGGTTCTCTGATAAAGTGGTTCGATTTTGAGTCAACATCTTCAATTATACTGCCAAGTGCCAAGATAAGAAAGAGAAAAGCCAATTTAGAAAATTTCTTCACTGACTTCAGGGCTTTCGAACCTGATATTTGGGAAAGCACCAATCATTGTAAATAAATGACCAATCTTAAAATCGGGCCAATGAGGCATAGTCCAAATAGTTCCACTCAGATGCCATAACCATAACAAAAAATAGTGCAGTTCAATTCCGGCAACGTATTATTATGTGTAGGTTTTCTCTGATTATATATTGGTATTTGTCTCATTATTGGTTCATTACTGATTCTGTCCTATCCTAAATATAAGTAATTGTTCTTGACAAACTGAATCTGAACTTCGAACTGTTTATGATACATATCTATCGATATTCTCCCCACTTACCCCCCGAGAAAATGGACAGAAATGATCAGGAAAAGCAGACAAACTAGAGAAACGAGGTCAGTACACTTAATTAAAAGAGGACAAATATTTCAGGTGCAAAAAATTAGAGACAGCATTTGAGGAAAAATAGAGAGTTATGCTGTCCGCGAGAAGAAATGATTTAACTTATAGCGTATTATTTTAGTTGTAAAAAAGTTAGATTAATTTTCTTTTCTCGGCCTTTCAAGTACTTCAATAGGTTCAACCCAAAATATCTTCAGCTGCCAAATGATGCAAATTAAGGTAAACAAAGAACAGTTCTCAATTCGCTGTTATTTTCCTACTCCTATCAATCAAACTGTAACTGGGTTAACGTCCAATCTTGCTCCAAATAAATTAATCTAGCCCTCAAGTTAGAAGGATTAAGTTGTGCACAGACTTGACAACTCGCGGTAATATTCTAGAAGAATCGAAAAGAGCATTGTGCTATGCAAGTTTTAGTTCGAACAATAAACAGCTATACAGCGACACCAACCATAAGGGAAACAATGACATCACCAGGTGATTCCCCCCAAATCAAACAAGGCCTTTCAATAAACAATTCTATGGAGATTATTGGCAACTCCCAACCTCAGTTTTAAACACAATCCTAGAAATCTAACATGGGATCAAAAATCATATTCATGCATAAGAAAAAGACCAAATTATCATGAATTCAAGGATAGATGATCAATAACAATATCATATGCAACATGCCAACAACCATGGTGTTTCACCTAAATCAACAAATTATGCACAAAAACCTACTGCTTTGATATTTCAGAGCAAGTGGGAATCGCTGATGAAGATTTCCATCTGTATGTGACAATTGCAAAACAAAAAAAAAAATGACACACCAAAGAATAAAGTCGAGCCAACTTGCACAGCTATTTGAGCACTCGTACAAAGGCAGGTCATCATCTGCTTTCTCAACAAAAGGAAACCTTAGCTCAAACTCATCTTAGCTCCTCTGTATTGAATTTATTCCATGCTTCCTGCAGTCAAATTCAGGATCTAAATTCAGAAGAGTGTAGCTGAGATGGTTCCTATGCATATTATAGGATATGACGGATAGCAGTACTCACTCCCGCTAGAGAAACACAATCCCCAACTGAGTCACAGACTAACGATTGGCACATTTGAAATGTAGTACTAGATATTGTCACATAGTCTGTGGGTGACTGGGTGTATACATTACATAGAGTGAATTTCAGTGAGTGACAAAAAGGAAAGGATGTAGTATTTCCTTCCCAGCAGAGATGGAAATATAAAGATGTAGTTATTTCCCAAGAGAGACGAAAGCACGTCAGGAGTAACCAGTAATATTTTTCTTTATATTTCTCCCCCTAATCTACTGCCTTCATATTTCATCATTTGCATCATCCTTATGGAATGTGTATGGATCCATACAATTAATACAGCCAGAAGCTCTTGCAGTGGAAAGGTTTCAACTTTGGTGTCCAAATTGAGCAGCTAACTGTTATTTCTCTACTCTCCCCCTCCCTGACCAGACACTCTGCCTCCATTTCCCAGAAGACAGCAAAACCTTTTTGCCTTGTTTGATGTTTCCTATTAAAGTCTATTGCTTTTGCTTTGTCGCATTTAGAAGTTTCCGAAAATATGAGTTGAATTTTTGTACAAATCAAGCTTCTACTGCTGTTATTCAGTATGACGATTATTCAAATTCATATTGTTTGACAAATAGCAAACTTTAAATTCTACATTTTCAAATCCTTTACATTACAGTTCTTGAAAATGATCCTGAGTTGCAATATCTAAACTCAAACACCAACTCTGAAATTGAAATTTGCTCTTTATATTCTAATTTCTTAACTATTTCAGGCCCCTTCAACCAACAATGCTTCAATGCAGTCATTATTTGCAAGTAAGCAAAAATCATAATTACACACCGGAAAAAGACTATATTGCGTTAGCAGCAGCATTTATGATATGGATCAGTAGTTATCCACTAATTATCAGGTTTGTTTGAGTTAAACTTATAACGCATCGTTAATGCACCTAGTATATTAAGTGAATGTTCTTCCCCAGTATCATATTTGAATCATATCAAACCCTAACTAATCGACAGAATAAGAACTTTTAACAAGACCACAAGCTATAGCAACAAAATCAAATTTTCATACAAAAAGGTGAAGTCTTGAACATTGAGTTGGTTGAAGTTACGCATTTTCTCAGAGAAAATGACAAACGGTTCACTCTAAGGCAGCAAAACTTTTAGGGGTCATTTGGTTCACGGGATAAAGGATATAATCCTGTGGATGAAATGTGGGATTCTTTAATTCCGTGTTTGGTTGAATTTTTATTTCTCATATAAGCAATCCCGAACTTAGCTAGACCACGATTTTGTTATTATCTTTACACCATATTCAATGTGGGATAACAATCCGGGGAAAAAACGACAAAAGTGCCCTTCTCTAAAATCCTTTAAAAACGCCAAGGTTTAAAAAAAGTTTATCCAAGTTTATCTATTATAAAACCAAACACATGTATTATATAATACCCGTATATCCCATTTTTAAGTCATTGAACAATACATCTACCATAAACAATGTATCCACTAAATAATTTCGTTAAAGTTTAATGATGTAGATACGTTTCCATGGTTTGATCCCCACATAATAATCGCAGTATAACTTGTATGCAAACCAAACGAACCCTTACAAACCTTATTACCATTTGCTCTATAAAGGGGCTGGCCATACCATGTACCTAATATATCCACATATTTTACTCCAGTTAAGGGGCCATTTGGTTGGCCGCATTAATAAGAAAATCCCTGCATGGCATAAGTAATAGTATAATATTTGGTTGGCCACATAAGAAAAGATAATCTCTCAACAATTAATGCATTGTTTCGTCGACCGTGTAAGGATAAATCCATGCATATGCAATGTTTGGTTGGTGGTGTTAAACTTAATACCAACATACCTAATGAGCGAATCTATGTATTATTTTATGCACGAAAGAGTGTGGAATAAGCTATATGTATCCACAATATGTGGATAACACTATCTAAAGACATAAATGCCTTCGAAGTAGTAATTTTTGCACAACATTTTATGTTTTTACCATTCCCACATAATAATCCCTACATTAAAAGTTACGGCAGACACAATCCCTACATTACAATCCATAAATAACTAGTACGCAAACCAAACAGCCCTTACTTCTACAGCTCCTTTGTAGCTTCCCATATGCATATATGATGTATGCATCGCAGCCTTGCGGTTGCTTAAAATATAATGATGAAGCGTACTTGTTGAACATATAAACGACAGGAATGAAGATTAAAGAATGTGAGCTTAACAACTTATTAAACATATACAGTTACCTTCAGAAGATCAAAAACCTTCTCAGCAATATACTTTTGCCGAACTGTGGCCCCTTTTTGTTGAACTTTGTCTGGGTGAACACATAAGGTTGCCCTGTGATAAACTTTTTTGACAGATGTGGAAGTGATCAAATCGGTCAAAGAAACTGGCTGCCAACCGCATTCAGTCCACAATACCTGCACAGCATTTAAGTTGCGAAGAACTACTTCATGACACTGGATGCCATATTTCAAAATTGTAAATACTATGGTCATAACTAAGTGAACTTCGTAAAAGCCCATACTTACTGGCTATATTATAAGATATAGTTGTGCATTCAATAGTTTCATACTACTTCCTTCATGACACTAGATGCCATATTCTATTGCAAATACAATGGTCATAGCTAAGTGAAATGTGCAAAAGCCCATAACTACTAGAAATATAATGAAAAGATACCAACAGAAGAAACATGTATGAAATATCATCCCCTTCTAACGTTTGCATTGCTGCTTTGTGTATGACGATCCATGAAATACTGGATTTGAATGGAAGGGCATCAATTTCTCACAGCAATAGATCAGAAATAACAGATTCAACCAGACTACACGGCATCGAAGATAAAAGACAGGTAATCTAATGAATACTGATATGATGCAAAGCTAGAGAAACCATTAAACTGGCAAACAAGGTAGAAAGATGATGCACAAAAAATTACATTAGTGTTGGGGAGCTACCCCTATCTACAATTGTAAGAAGCAAATCTAGCGCAGTTTTGCCTCCTTAGATATAGCGAAATTTAAGGACTTCTAAGGATCAAGCTTGATTCCCTTTTTACCCAACAACAGAAATTAAGCGTTGATTTATGGATTGGATCAAACTAATTTCAGAAAATATCTAAACTGGCTTGAGAGATAGTAGATTAAATCTAATTATGTCTTGCAAGATTCTTAATAGATCTAAGTGGACTTCAAGATTTGCTGATTACATACATGTTGCAGTGATGACAGCAACGCGCGGAGGTTGCCTTCTTTCCCAGTAGCCCAACGTTTTATATCATAGTCCAGCATCTCAGCAAGCCTCTGCAAAAAATCAAAGGAAATTAGCTATACAGAATGTTTGAGCAGGTTGAATGCATAATGTGAATTTCAATTAAAAGATAAAGCAAACAGGAGAGAGAAAAGATTTTTCTTTCTTTTGGGGGGTTTGGGGGGGGGGGGGGGGGGGTAGGGAGGGACGGCGAAAAGGCGAAAGTGGGGGAGGGTACTACGT